TTGGTCGCTTCCTTCCTCTTCCCCGCGAGGAGGGTCCTCCGGGTCTCATGTGGAACCAGCTCCCCGCCATCGAGCAGTACCCCATGGACCAGGTCTGCAAGATCCCCACCATGGAAGACGTCTACCTCCCCGTCGACTACCACATCGAGCCAGACCACGAGTACCTCTGGAACAAGGGCCTGGAGAAGGAGATGGATGACTTCCTGGAGTCGTAACAACCTCCTTCCACGCACAAAGCCTTCCGCTATGACACTCACGCTTCATCACGGTCTGCAGGTCAGCTTTCATCTTTGGAGTACTTCCGGTTTCGCATCGATTTGGCGCACGCCCAGCTTCCAACCAATGTGACTATTAGCTACTACAACTGTCACCGAGCTATCTGTGGCCAAGTCGATCTCCTCCCCGGTGAGATACCGGTTGTTACCTTTATGTTCTGGGCCTTGGCTTCCTTTGGAGTTATTCGCGTCCTTGGGATTTGGAGTTACGACACATAGACGATTCGACACGAATCGAGTCATGCACACAGCCGACGATTACGACGACACAGCACAAAGCCCCCACTTCACTCTTCGATACCCTGGCTGTCATGACTTGCGTTGTTGACTTCTGGTCTAACTGGAAGGCAACTCTGGAACACGCGTCATGGACTCATGTGCACTGCTTGCGTTGAACTTTTTCCTTATCAAATTACGACAAAATGGAGAGTCATTGGGAGGATGCGGAGGAATTGATATTGGCATCGGAGCCGGATGCGTTCGGTTTCACTGCGTTGGTGCGTTCTTGCGATAACATATCCTAGTTACTCTCCTCCAAAAAAAGTGCTTTACACTTCTGCCTTCTGCCGCTCCATCAAGTGATACCGTGACTGACATTCTAGCACCCAGTTTCGGGGTCGTTACGAATGGCCGCAATGACTCTTGTCGCTGCTATCCAATTCTGCCAGCGCTTCCATCTAGACCTCTTCCTCATTCCAAATGCTCTTCACCCCACTTGCTGTTCGTAACGCTGGCAGACCGCGTGGATCAAAGCGGTGGGTATCTTGTTGGACCGATGATGACCATTGCTTCGCGTGCCATTGGCCCTCGCATCCTCATGGCAGGTTTGAGTGACTTCACATGTCACCGCCTGTCCGGAGAAGACCAACACTATCCGAAATCCCACGCACGTCGAATCCCGGAATGACTCTTCTCGTCCCCGGTGAGCACGTCCAAAGGCTAGACCCTGAAGCCACGAGCCACGTAGATTGGCTTTATCGAATGGATGTCGACAGTGAGACTACGTGCCCGATGGTACGGTGATGATGACAACCGCCGTTGACAGCGCGGCAGCTTTGGGGTCGGACATGCTGTCGATGTATGATTTCGATCTCGGGGTAAAGCTTATCGTCCAAATATCGGCGCCGTAGTTATAAGAAATTCGCGCTTGATCCGCATAAAAAGAGGACCCAGAAATCGTATAATCGAACAACCGGACAATCTCGCATACTTGATATACGAGCCACCAAGCTTCTTACTCAAGTGACCCCTCCTGCTCTATCCTGTGATACCCCCAATCAAGACCGCATCATAGCGCCACAAGCAGTAGATACGCCCGATCGGGTGCCTTACCGCGAGGCGTCCATCATCCACTAACCCAAAGCGGCAGGGTTCACGCTTCCTTGACAACACATCACCGCATTTCACCAGCGTGCAGGAAAGACGTTATCACGGGTCAGCATTGCGCCGTGTACAGTACCACCTTAGATCTCGCTTACAAGCTCACAGGTCACGGCTAATACCACGATCGTGACAACCTTGGAAAGGGTCGGTTCGCGAAAATGTATCTTTAGGTCTACACTTTACCAACTCCCCCCTCCCCTTCCCAGTCCTGTCTCAAACCCCATCTATTGCCTCCTTCTCCCCATCCAAATCCTTAGTCATATGCAAAATCCGAATCCCCTCCCCATTCGGACACGTTACCACATCCACCCTCCCACTCCTCACATACCCACACCTCTCATACAACTGCACTCCACTAAGCGTCGCCCCCATCTCCAGCCTCTTGAACCCGTCCGTCTCACCGACCTTCCCTTCCCGTGCCCTCGCCTCACAATACCGCATCATCATCGTGCCCAGGCCTTTGCGCGCATACTGCGGAGACGTGAAGATTGCTCGTATGCTCGCACGGTCAACGGCTGGATCGCGTTTCTCTGGCATGCGCAGCGGAGAGGGCGCGGAGTCCCCGCCGTACAGTGTTTTGCGGAAGGACCAGCCGCCGCAGGCGCAGATTGTGAGGGGTGCGTTGAGGGGGTGGAGGATGTAGTATGTTCTGTTTGCGAAATCATCAACTTTACTACCCTTTAATTCCCCCCCTCCTTCCCTTCCACTACCCAGGTTTCTGGATCTAGTCTTTGGCAATGCAATGTGGAGAAGAGGGGTACATATCCCCCCCTCCCTCTTCCGCAAATGGATAATGCTTGATGACATGACAGTTGATGACGGACGCCTTATTCTCATCCATTGATTATGATTGGAATTATACGTACTGGTCTTTGATGAGAACAGAATCTGGACCGAAGAGGTAGCCTATTGAGCCGTCGAGCTCGGCGTCTGTGTAGTATCCTTTTCCCAAGCTGCGGAGTGAGGATGCGATCATGGATTGCAGGGAGGGTATGTCGGCGGGGGTTGCGGGGCGGAAGGTGTATTGGTGGGTTGCTTCTTGGGCTTTTGCTGAGGCGACGGGGTCGTGCATTTTGGAGTTTGGAATTATTCTCTTGTTCCTTTCGAGTCCGGATTGAAAGTGGTATGTGCCTTTTGCTGCGTAGATGTATCTTTCTTGGGAGTTGGTACGTTTGGCCCAATCATACGTTATCGTTATCGCGAGGCTTGGGAGTGGGATGCTTTCCGACGGAAACCATCCCTGTTCCGCAAGGTTGGTTGCTTCGTATCGGTCATTCCGAGGTCGATAGAGTCCATGTTTCTGTCCACGGGTTACACGTATGCATCGTAGAGGTGTATGTTCCTCGCCGTCAAGGCGCATCGCACAAGGTTTGCCGGACGGCGCGCTTTGACCACCGCGCGCCGGTTGATGTCGTTATTCTAACTTTCCGCCTCTGGCACCCACGTGGCACCATTGTCTTCCTCCGACAACCTTCTTACAACAACTCTCGAACGACTCAAACCCCCGGCACTGACCGCAATAGAACTGATAACGAAGATTGTGCAATGTCAAAGTCGACCCGGCTCCAAGCCCAGAGTGAACAACGGCGCCCCGCACTTAGCGAGATGAACAGTCTGGAAAAGCGAACGCGAGCATCGACATGTTCATCACAATCAATGCTGTTTTCCCTCCGAGTCATATTGCCAGAAGCTCAGGGTTGGAGCGACTCAGCGACTCATCGACTCAACGGTTAATACCAGGCGTAAGGTTAAAACAATCGCGCCTTCCTTGCGAGTCATCCAGCGCGGGCAGGTGATGCGGATGAATGGGGTTGCAGAAAGATCATGGAAGCATCGATCGCAAGATCCAAGATCCTCAACAACGGCAGCACCCTGCAGTGGCTGATGCTGTACCTGCTTCTTTTGCTTCCAAGAACTGTTCGTTTTTGGCGTCCGCAGGATGAAGCAGGGTATAGAGTCGTGCACCAAGGGTGTTGCGATGGCTAGTACCCCTTGGACACATTGCATCAACATCGCCTGCAGCATCCTGACAGCAGATTGCCGTGAGTGGAAGCAAGCTCGTCTTACATGCCCAGTCTGCGAGCATCGCACACACTAAAACATCCATCTATTGGAGTACCTTTGCGAAAAGAATTCCAACGTCACCAGACGTCGCAGTCAAAGGCAAGAAGGCATGGCTTCCATGTGCGGCGCATTCCGCTCACAACGGTCAAGTTGCGGTGCTGGCGTTGCCAGCGTTTGGCCATCTTTGGTGCGCTTGCTTTTTGTATCACGTTGGGTGTTGAAACAGCTAAGAGCGTCAGGCGAATTTAAAATAGCACACGGTCCATAACGGGACGCTCCCGTGACGTCGATCAGCCCTATACCAGCAACGGCAGCAAATATGCGAAAGCTTATTTGCGTTTGGAAGCGTTCTTGACAACGAACAGGAACTTCGCTATATGCAAAACCGCAGTATTATGCAGAAATACCTCCGTCCGCAGACTGCCCAATCGCATCTTATGTTGAGAGTTTTCCTCGCATTGCCTGCGATGAAGTCATTCCGCTTTTTCGAGACAGCCGTTTTCTTGTCAGCTCAACCTCCTACAATGACAGCTCGGAGACGGACGTCACTATGGCCAATGATTCACAGCAGAGTCCACAGCGTACCGAGGCACGGCAGGCACGTTGCGGACGCACTAGGAACATCCTCGCGTGGGGCACTGCCCTGTAGCAGGATCAGCCGGGGTGACTAAAAAGTAAAGTCCAAGCGCATGAATGATGATAGTGCTTTTTCGGTAGTCGGATCATCTGAAGGTCTTGAGTGGATGACCGTACAGGTTGTTCGAGTCGAGGAGGCTCGAAGTGGGACTGGTATTCCTCCGTACCCCATCTCCACCATGACTCTCATGAGAACTCAACCTACTTGGCAGCACTTGGTAGCAGTTGCATGACTGGGGCTTGTTGTCCTTGCAATACACCGGTGCAGAGTTGGCCAATCCAGTGTCGAGTCGACGAACACCTTCCTCGGCTGCGATCTTAGCTACCGGTTGTTTCCACTTCATCGATGAGCCCACTGATACCTTGGCTGTGCCTGGCACTATGCCCTGTCTTCTCGACTTGATCGTCGTCATGGGTAGATTGAGCTTGGCCATATGCCTGGTCGAACATCTTGGGATTATAAGAAGGTAGGACGCCGGCTTCAGTTGGAGATCATCATCAGTCAACACTGTCATCAACACTACAGTTCACAGGCCCGGTGCTTACATTCGCTCCTACCTTTTTCGCTTCTTCTCTATCTTCTTGTCAATAGCAGATTCAACTTTCATCCCACTTCCCTCTATCCATCCACCAGTCAACACCATGTACGCCAAATCCGTCCTCATCGCCGCCCTTGCCGGCTTCGCTTCCGCCAGCCCCATCGAAGTCGAGAGCCGCCAGCTCTTTGGTGGTGGAATCGGCGGCACAGGATCCAGCTCTAGCGAGTTCAGCCGCGGCGGCTGCAAAGACGTCCTCTTCGCCTTTGCCCGTGGCTCCACCGAGATCGGCAACATGGGAACCGTCGTCGGACCGCCCACCTCGAACGGCCTCAAGAAAGAATTCGGAGCCGACGCCGTCGCGACCGAGGGAATCCCCTACGCCGCCTCCATCGGCACTAACGTCCTCCCCGGCGGCACCGACACACGCTCCAAGAACATGATGGCCGACACCCTCAACAGCATGGCGCAGAAATGCCCCGACTCCGTCATCGTCGCTTCAGGCTACTCCCAAGGCGCAGCCGTCTGCCACCGCGCCATCGAAGGCCTCGACCCCGCCGTCATGCAGCAAATCGCCGGTGTCGTCACTTACGGCGACACCCAGAAGCTGCAGGACAGGGACCAGATCCCTAACTTCCCCAAGGAGAAGGTCAAGATCATTTGCCAGCCTGGCGATGCTGTTTGCCTCGGTACGCTGAGCGTGCTGCCTGCGCACTTGACATATGGTGTCCGCGCGGATGAGGGCGTGGCTTTCCTTGTGCAGCAGATTAAGGGTGTGCAGGCGAAGATCAAGGCGAGGAATGCGAAGAGGGAGGCGGAGCAGATGGCTGGAGACGCTGAGTTGCAGGCGCAGGCTGCAAAGATGGACGCTGAGATGCAGGAGGCGATTAAGCAGGCTGCTCAGGAGATTGAGGCTTAAGGGTCAATCTGGGGACTGGCTTGATGGGATTTGGGGGTGGATACATGTGTGGCTGGATCACTTGGGGGATTTTTATGACCTTCTTTACTTTCTTTTATCTTTTCTTCTTGGATTGTAGTGTTATCTTACGAATTTGATTGAATTGGGCCCAGACAAGTTCTACCTTTCCGACGTTCATGATCTTTGATAATGATGACTACGCTGCCCGGATAGGCAAGTTACGATAAGGTGTTGATTGTGGCACCGTCGCTTGCCCCGACTGCCCCGAATGCTCCCCGCTGACTGCCCCGCTTTGATAAATCGCCGCAACGACTCAGGCTTCAGCCACCATTTTTATGAGAAGGCGACACAAGCGACAACTCTCAATTCGTGGCAGTTCCATTGTGCCCTTTTGCTTTTCAGAATCCCTTAGACATGTGTTTGTTAAACTTGCAGCTTGAGAAGCTCACGGTACCTGGATGACATCAATACCAAGCGCATATCATACTCCGAGCCTAAAGGCGCACGAACAAAGATATCCAACATTCTCATCCTAGAAACGAGAGAATATCTGTATCAAGGCAATGTTCACTGTACTATCAAACCAAATCGCTGCCGACAGCTGACGCCCCGCCGCCCAGTTGTAGAATTCCATGGTCACGCCGTACGACATGCGTACTAGCCTTGTACACGTGTACAAGATGCAGACAAAGGTACGGCATTAGGGAGTGCCCTGATGCTAGTCGTAACGATAGATTGAGCATTTCGTCCGGCCATTCACATCAAGCCCCGTTACACCATCACGCAGTGAGCCAGAAGCGGCCTCCAACGGCGCCGGCAGAAGACGCAAATCGCCAATCACCATGTTACGCAGCATACCAAGAAGAGCCGAAGCGAGACTAGGTAGTCTGCCACTATGGTGGAGTTACGCAGTAGCTCGCGGACGATCATTCGCTGGGAGAGTAGCTGCGAGGACCATTCGAGCACATGCACTCTCCTACCTCTACCATATCAAGACGAACTACTACACTACTTACCAACGCGAAATCCTTTAAACACAGTCGCTCAGACACCATCAAACACGACACGCCCACCATGCCCTCCCCACCACCCACGCCCGAAGAAGCTCAGCGCCGCCAAACCGAAGCGCGCGCAGCCGTCACCGCATCCCTTGCCAGCGTCGGCGCATCCGTCGACAACGAGATGCGCACGCGCACCGCCGACCTGCACGCCAACTCTGCGGCAATCGCAAAGCAGGAAAAGGAGCTAGCGAAGCAGACGGCGGCGCTGGCGAAACAGACTGCCGAGTGGGATAAGCTGCTTCAGGGCGGCACGAAGAAGTTGAATGAGGTGGGAGATATTCAGAACTGGGCGGAGATGATTGAGAGGGATTTGCTGGTGTTGGAGGAGACGGTTAGGTTGGTGGATGGGAAGGGCAGGGAGAGGGAGGAGTCGGCGAGTGGGACGGGGGGTTGGTAGACGATACCAAGAACTGGCGAGGAATTTACGGCGACGGTCGTGTTATGATTGATGAAGCGCTGTTGAGTAATATATAATATTGTTATAAAGTCTCCGGATTGCATACCCAGGTATGCGCTGCGTTTCTGTGGTGAGTTAGTGACATGCCTGTTATCGGAAATTATATGGGACGACGGATGTCAGTGTAATCGACCCATGAATCAACCTAGAAGCGCCCCAACATGCCCCGCGCAACCGAGCGTGATTCTGTCTCGTCACCTTCTGCAGAGAGAGTGACGACAGCGCGTCGCTTTCGTGACGCTCTAAGCTTGGATCATCGGGCACGGACCACGTCTCCATGATTGCGGAAACTGCTACTTGCGGTGCTCGTAGCTGGAGCTCCAACAACACCTTCACCTCACCCACCACCCGCCTGCCGACACAGAGGCTCGCGCTATTTCACGGTTGGCACCTGCACCCTGCCACAAATTCCCCAACTAGCTGCCCAAGATCCACGCCTGCACCGTGGAATCTACCAGCAACCCACCACCCACGCCTCTTCTCCGCCAACCCGCCCGCTTGTAGCCATCGCAACATTTCGCGGCGACCGCTTTTGTGTGCAGACCCACCGACGACATACATCATCACGACCCCGCTTTTCGCTCCACTAAAGCCGCAGCCACTTTGGGTTTCTGCGCTTCCGGTAAAGGCAATCGCAGCCTGCCTCTAGACATCCTCTCACGCCACGGACACGGCGCCGTGCTATCCGACCGCCTACACGCAACCACTGCTCGCTCGACACCGGCTTCATAGAGCTTGCATGTGAGCAAGCTTCGTCTTCCGAGCGCCCGGCGCAAACATGAAGATCAAGAAACAGGCTACATCGCGACATGAGTCGACTCTGGTAAGCTGCAGCTCCCCGCCCTCCCCGCCCTCGCCACTGCTAACACAGCGCGTAGTCGCCGATGATAGCAGACTTTGTGAAGGCGACCGAGTCAATACCGCTGTTCCAGCTGCCCGCACATCTCGCCTCGTTCCCCAGGCACTGGCCCTTTCCCCGCGGTGACGCATACCACTGGATCCCCGCCTTGAATCGCTTCGACCACATCCTCGAGCTCTTCAACAAGGAATATGGCCTGGTAGATGGGCCCCAGACACAGGCCTTCCAGCGCCGGCTGCTGCTCAAGGGCGATGCCGAGGAAGGAAGCACCAGCTCCGAGCAAACCACGACCGATGCCGTCCTGGATACCCTGCACGTATCCCGGGATGGCGATCGCGAGCTGGTCGAGCAGATCCTCAACTTCACGCGGATGCTCTTGGAGAACTGCGGGAACCGTAGTCTGTATTCCAGCAGTGAGCGCCTGGACAAGCTGCTAAACACGACCTCCACATCCCTCCTCAAGGCCACGCTTCGTCTAGGCCATCGCCTCGCTCAGCGCTATGCTGCTGCACGCATGCGCTTGGCCCCGGCCACCCTGCACCCGTCCCTTCTCTCCAGCCACTACAACATCAACCTCGACAAGGTCCAGAAGCTGGCTAGCCCATTCGCAAAAGGCCCCGCAACGGCAGCACCTGTCTTCGGTACTCCAGCAGGCAAGGGCAAGGACCGCGCTGGCAGCACTGATAAGGTCAGTCCGTCCGACCTTGTCGCTCTATACTCTCTGTCCGAGTCATCGATGAAGCAGGAGTTCGGAGGCGTCCTCATCTCGTACTATGAGCCCACTCCCTCGTCCGAAGCAGAGAGCAGCAAGCAGGCATCTACAGAGGCACCCGCTCCCACCACGCCGACTCCCGTACGGAGGACGTCCAGCATGGGACCCAACCGAACACCGCGACAGCCCCAGCCTGCACCCGCTACCGATTCGCCGAGCACACCCGCCTTCACTCCCGGACAGCCCAGTAATACAACGAACGGACCTAAGACTTTCCAGCTGTCAGCGGACAAGGTACACAAGACCGACATACACGACCTCATAAAGGAAGGACTCGCAAGTCTACCGGAGACGGTGCACTACGAATTCCTCCACAAGCTCCGCATCGCAAAGATGTTCAACGAGGGACGCACAGGGCGCGACAGTGCAGTTGCCATCCGCCTACTCTCCATTGCGAACATCGGTTACGTACACGTCGAGAAGGAGTTCATGGCAAAGCTGGGTCAGCAGGATGCAGACGAACCACGCCGGTTGCAACTTGCCTACCAACTCTCTGAGCTCGTCCATCCGCCTGGAAATGGCGAGACTGGGATTTCGATGGAGCTGCAGACATATACCATGAGCGCGCTCGAGGCCCTTGCAAAGCACAAGTCTAAAGCGGCTGATGTTTGCACCGCCCTTAGTGTCAACGTTAACCACGGTGTGTTGTTCTACGTCGTGCGCAAGCTGGTCGCTGGCCTTGGCGAGGAAACTGGTAACCCGGATGATATCGAGGAGGACGAGTGGCGCGACGCTTTGTTCTCTCTGCTGAACACTCTTCCGACGTCTCAAACACGCACTGGTGAGCAGATGGTGGCTGCGGGGCTCCTGGAAATTCTTGTCGATGTCCTCAAGCTGCGTACAGCAAAGGCAGAGCGCAACCACCCCAAGATTCTCAACTTCCTTGATACCTTTGTGTACAACCTGCGAGACGCCTTCTCAGCCCTTGTGGCCGCGAAGGGGCTCGAAATCATTGCTGATCTGATGCAATACGAGGTCGACACCTCCAAGAAGCTCGCAGAGGAGGACAAGGGTATGCCCAAGGAGTACAAGACTCAGCTTACTGATTATCAAATTCCGTTCTATCACCAGCAGAGTCTACGCTGGCTTTTCAAGTTCCTCAACCACATGATGTCGCATACAGGCGGAAACTTCGATCGTTTGATGCGAAACTTGCTTGACTCACAACAGCTGCTTAGCAGCTTGCGCACTGTGCTATCAAACGCCAAGACGTTCGGCTCAACTGTTTGGAGCATGGCTGTCACGATCCTTACCAGCTTCATCAACAATGAACCCACTAGCTACCAAGTCATCGCCGAGGCAGGTCTTAGCGATGCGTTCTTGGAGACAGTCGCGGGAGAGCCTGCTTCAGAAACGACGGCTGCAGCCAACAATGACCCCAGTGCTTCAACACCAACGACATACGCTCCCAGGGAGGGCGGAAAGCCACTTGCCGAGGGTATCTTGCCTGTAGCTGAAGCCATCTCGACCCTGCCCCCGGCTTTCGACGGTATCTGCTTGGCTGAAGCTGGTATGAAGCTGTTCCAGTCATCGACCGCGCTCCAGCGATTCTTCGAGATCTTCGAGAGCCCTGCTCACATCAAAGCTCTTGACGCTGATACGGAGATGCCTACCCTGATCGGAAACTCTTTCGATGAGCTAGTGCGCCATCACCCGCCTCTCAAGGCACGCGTTCTTGCCTGTCTAAGCGAGCTGATCGCGCGCGTGGTCCAACTTTGCGCCGACAAGGCCGAGAAGGAAGGTGTAGGAGCCAAGCTTTGGACCGAGGATGCTGCTGGAAAGCTCACCGTGGCAGGCGGCCGCCAAGCGCTTTCTACATCAGGCTCGCAGCAAAGTACAGCGCAAGCATCA